TTCTCCAATTTTCTCATCAGTTTTCTTAAGAATTGCTTCGAAATCTGCATAAATTACTATAGGATGACGTTGCGTTTTATTCCATGCAGTAAACTCGAGCATTGTACCAGGTTCAGGCATCTGAGCTAGTATAGGTTTATGTTCTCCACATATTAATTTATGTTGCTCTAGCCCTGCCTCACCGTTTAATTTATATTTGTATTGTTGTTTATCGAATTTTGCAAAGCACCGTTTGCAGAAAATTGCTTGTCCGTTATGTCTAGTTTTTTGTGACCTGATGAGCCGTGAAAAATTAGAGATATAGCTATAATGACTGTTATCCTCGTCTGATGTTATAAGTAGATCAAAATGATCCGGTTTTTCTTCATCTACTACTTTAAGAGGAAAAACTTTATATTCCGGAAATTTTGGCGGTTGAAATTTCTTCTCGATACCGTAAACATTGACAGACACGTTTGGATTATTTTTTTCAAAAATTTTAACTTTATGTAGTGGTGTTGGGAATGTTAAACCAGAAAAATTATATTTTTTCTCGTGTTTTAAATAATTATCACCAACACAGCATTTATTTTCTCCTGTAACATGTTTTGCTAGAATTGCCCACTTGAAGCATTGCATATCTAAGTTTTGAGGGTTAATCACAGCTTTTTTATTTTTAATGTCCACTGGAAGTGTTATATAAGAGGAACCGCCCATAGGTGTATATTTATATATACCCAGCATTAACCCGTCAATACATTGTAATGTGAAACCACTACCCTTGCTTGCATACTCGTCTTGCTCTTTCATTAATTTAGTAAATGCCTCTTCAACAATTTCCTGTACTCCAGTATCACAGAAAACTGCCTTAGCCGAAGTTTTAAAAGCACGGTTTTCCGACGAATATTCAACATTTGGTATATTATATGTCGCTTCAAGCTTTAAATTAAACTTGATCGGATTTTTACTTGCAATTGATTTTAGTAAATTAACTAGTTCAGATTTGATCGAATCGAGGAAGTATGTATAGTTTTGAATATTATTGGTGTTTTTTACGTAGTACCAGGTGATAGTATTGTTTGATGATGTAGATATTTTTGTAAACCCTGGAGACTTTACGAGATTCAGACGTATTTTTTTTGCCCTAACAGCGGATTGAGTGTTGGCGCTGGAAACACGTTTACCATTATCGAGTGTAGTGTATGAATCTTTAGAAAAAAAAAAAAAAAATTAATCTATGACGCGTTTATAAAAAGAAATAGCTAACCTTGAAAATCATAAAGTCCAAGATTCTCAACGGTGTCCAAAACTTCCAAGCATAAATCATCATTCGCATTACTCCAAAATTCATCCTTCGTGTAATCTCGCATGGGTGATAAGCGATCATTTTGCCCGAGAAGATCGGCGGTGTCGAGAACCTCCCAGCATTCATTCGCGTTACTCGTAAATACATCCGCCATGTTATCTCGCATGGGTGATAAGCGAACATTTTGATTATCTCGTGTAGTTGATACGCGATCTTTATGAACGGATGATGTACCAGGTTGCAAGTTTGGTACAAAAACGTGTGGCGCGATCTGTACTATACCTGATGACAAAATTGAAATAAATATTTAAAGTGAATATAGAAAATAGGTACATACCATGAACATTTTTCAAATGTTGTTTGAGGTTGGTCTTGTAACTGAACGTAATGCCGCACCTAATACACGGTATACGAATACCATCGTGCGTTTTTTGGTGTCTTGTTAGATTACGTTTCGCTGTAAATTCCGAAGCACATTTGCTACATTTGAACAATTTCGAATGTGTTTTTCGGTGAGCGATCAGATTTGACTCGTATACGAATCCCAAAGAACATTGCTCGCATTTAAACATTTTAAAATAAACGGATAAGAAAAAATTAATACGTTATATAATAATTACGTGCGTAGTATTAGCATAGAGCGAACGAGATGTAGGTAATAGAGCACTATAACACCAACTGAGGACAGTAATGAATAGCGACTATTCATTCATTCAAAAATCCCTACCGCCGCCGCCGCCACCACTGATCCCCGTCACGTGACAAAATACAGGGTCGTCGAATTGTCCTATATATCGGGTGTACTAATATCCGTATGGTATAGTGTTCAAACCATTACTAACCTACTGAATATGAGACAAGCACACGTGAAACACTTGGAACGATATAGAGTGACTGAATTTATGTATATATGTATGTATGTATGTGTATAAGAGTTCATATGTAATTGAATGAATAAAGGAGTGGGTGGCTTGTTTGTGTGTGTGTGTGTGTGTGTGTGTGTGTGTGTGTATGCATGCTTGTATGTATGATAAGGTATATATATATATATGTTGAGCGTGTGTTCAGAATGAAAACTGATGAGTACCGTATGGTATCGTGTGTTTCATAGTATATTATAGTTTTTAAGTGTTTGGTCATATCATATTTATATGTATAAATATACCTAAGTATCGTATATATTATGTAAATTGTATAATATGATCAGGAGTTTGTGATAATGATGAGTATAATATAATTATTGTTTGGATATAAATTATGTAAGTATGTACCTATATATGTAAACTATATTATAATATATTTGGGATACATTCCGGTGTATGCTTTAGCGAGATGTTTATTTGAATGGGATTATAATCTAAAAATGGTCTAATATTTTTAGATATGTGTGATAATGTACCATATCTTTAATGTTTTTTTTTAGTTCTTTATTTTACACAATATATTACAACAATCTGCTCTACTTATATATCTTAAGGAAATTGTAAATAATTTGTAAAATAAAAATACTTTTTTAAATATCACGTTGTTTTTTTTATTATAAGTAATAAAATATCATATTACAATAAAATATTACATTAATGGTTCACGTTTTTAAATAATTTACAGCAATATAAAAATTACATAATACAAATTATTGACAGCAATATAAAAATTACATATTACAATAAAATATTACATTCTTAACGAAAACTTAATCTCCGGGCTGCTTTTGCGGTTTCACGTGCTACGAATGCCCTCGTCCTCGGTCTGGTTACTTCAGACTAAAAAAATTTGTTTTCTTTAGTATAAAATAATATGTAAAAATAAAATCGTATTACCTCAATTTCGTTCGAAGAAGCTAACCATCCCCTTGCCAATTGTTTGACTGCCTTGATTTTCAAATCTGCTACGAAACAACGACCAGTTAACTTAAGTTGTTTTTTCAATTCTTGGACATCGATACGGTATAAATAATCTTCAGCTTCGCTTATTTTTGTATCTTTGGGTAACGGCATTTCCTTTCCAAGATACCTTGAAATACCACAGGACTGACCTAATACACTAGGCCGTATATATATATTTTTCATCTGAATAACTTCTTCCACGGCATCACTTAATTGCAAGATCCTTGAAACATTTGCTTTAGTTAGTTGTACATGTTGATCCTGTTGCAAACACTTTATCGAGAGAACGTTGTCACGGTTGTATTTATCTACTGAAGCCAATTTAAGCTCCTTCAGCATTAAATGAGATGGTCGTGAAAAATTGATGTAGTTAAGAGCTATATTAATTAGAGATTTATAGAATTCAATACTCATTTTAACACACTGCGAGTTATTTGAGATGTATATAACGCAATTAAACAAAAAATCAGGATCTAATCCTATATTTATAAAAATATTGCTATCAATAAAGAATGTAGTACAATCGATCAGATTAGCTGGCGGCGATGGTGGTGTATATTTGTAAGTTTTCTTGTATATATTTTCCATATTTTCAATTGGACCAGCCATATTTATTTTACGCACTGAGAAATAAATATGATTTTAACACTGAATATGAGACAAGCACACGCGAAACACTTGGAACGATTATATAGAGTGACTGAATTTATGTTGTGTAGTTGTGTTCATAAACGAGCAAATTAAATATTAATTGGTGGGGGAGACATCGAAAAGTCCCTACAGGTTAATCGGGAGGGGGTAAATGGTATAGTGGTGGGGGAAATTATACCTCGCGTACGTAAGCGGACGCCGGTTAAATGAGATAGAATATACCTTCTCAAACAGATGCGAGTAGGCGGCCCAGTGGTACGGTTGTCGCTTGTCATGCAAGTTAACCGGGTTCGAATCACGGTCCGGCGGATAAATTTTTAAATTATTTTCCACGCGCGGTGGTCATAGGTGGTGGGGTGGCGGGGGTACATCGTGTGTGATATATGGTGGGTTCATCAGCCGTCAATGTATAGGGATGAGCAGACGGTATAGTGGGATGAGCAGACGGGTATAGTGGGATGAGCAGACGGGTATAGTGCCATGAGCAGACGGGTATAGTGCCATGAGCAGACGGTATAGTGCCATGAGCATACGGGTATAGGGATGAGCCAGCAGAATGAGCTGTTTGAACTCTCTTTCTCTACCTACTTATAGTTTATAATATTATGAAAACATTATCAAAATACAATGAAAAAGATGTCTGATATCCGACCCGGGAGGGAAACAGGAGACGCACCAATTTTAAAATTGTCTACTCAAAGCAGAACACGTGTAGCTCCGTTAGTTTAAAAATTAGAGTAAATTTACCACTTATAAAATCTAAAGGTAAGATTATTATCTAGATTCTATACAAACAACTGTTGTCGATATCGCACTTAAAATCCAGATCTAGCGTTCTGCTCTAGTGGGTTAATATTAAAACCAACGCTAGTTTATATATTTATTGTATAATGCTATATGGTACACTAAGAACATCAATTATTATAATAATATTAGGTTTATTGTAAATAATAATATTATATAAAACAAAAGATAAATTATATTTAAAAAATAAGTTTTTCTGTAATTTACCTTCGTTAGTATCCATATGCTGAATCACTTCGTCACCAACGTCCCCACCTCCACCCATTTGACTTTTTCAACTTTTTTCAAACCCCAATATTTAGTGCTCAATTCCTGCCAATTCCTGCCGTAGACCCCGGAATTCATGCTCAAAAGCCGCCCCCGTAAAGGTTAGGTTAAAATATTGGATGAGCGTTAGTTGTCTGACAACTTTTACCAAATACAGGCGCATCAGCAGTAGATCCAAAAATTTCCGTAATATGCTGTTCAGTCTGATTCAATAGTGATGTAGTCTGTGTTTGACTCAACACTGCAAGTGCTGTGGGCTTACTACCAAAGTTACACTTACCAAATTCTGGCGTATTCCTGGCCTTACCAAAACCATACTGCTTCCATACTGCTTCATGTGCCAACATGTGAAGTTTCAGGATATCATTATAGCCATCCTCAGCCCAATCAGTTACATTTTGACTGGGTTGAGTGGTATTTAATATCCTCCCGAAAATTAGTACGTCAAATTCCGGGAGTACCTGGGAGAATCACCCGTGTTATCTCGACTACCCAAATATTTCCAAGACTACCTGTTATATTCTATTTAAAAATGTACATTCCCGCGTTGTAATCTGTATCATCGTAATTGACAATTTAATTTTGTTTTCAATGTACAATTTACTATCCACGTATCTTACCATCAGACCAGGTATTTATGTCGTCAGTCAGTCGACAGCCGTCCTTATTACGTCCGTCAGTTATTATTTACTGTATAGTACTACACGCTACGTCTAGCCAACATGAATTTTTTTTAATTTGTCATCTTCAGAAAAGGAAGCTGTGCAATTTTTTCAAGAACGCGGAGTGTTGCCAAGTGTACAGATTTGTCAAAACAATCACATGGCAAAGTTATATTTTGGAAAAGAAATATTTTGGAAAATGCAATGTTAAGAAATGCCGAAAAAAGGTAAATGTACGTAATGGTAATTGGTTTGCAAAATCACGAATATCGTTTACAGTTGCCGTACGATTTATATATGACGAGTGCGAAATGGTGCGAGCAACAATTAGGTTTAAGCCTAAATACAGTTATTGACTGGAATAATTACCTACGCGAAGTATGAGCAATGGCTGTTGAAATTAAACCACAAACAAAATTAGGTGGACCGAGGAAAATCGTCGAGATCGATGAAAGTCTATTTTCGAAAAGCAAAATTAGCAAGATTCCTATCTTACTGAATTTGTTTGGTGACAAAACATTGGAGACGATACACCATTTGATAAAATTCTAATGGATCTTAAAACATACTTCCCTCCACAAAAAAATTATTAATTACCATACATATTATTTTTACCAGATTTTTTTTAAGTACTTAAACATTATTTTGTAATAATTTTTTATAACCGTAAAAAAATATTGAATACATATTATTTTTACCAGGTAGTCGACTGCTCATATGAAATAATAATATCTTTGTCAACTGCTTGGTCTAATAATACACTATCACTATCCTGGGTATTATGAATATTTTAAGTATTGACAATAGGTAACGAGGAAGATAACATCAATTATTATAATAATATATAAATAGTAATAAATAATAACATACTATAATAGTATATAAGTGCATATTTAATAAATAAATAATTTGTTAGTAGTTTGTAGGTACTTTTTATAATTCTTTTTAAGATTTTAGGTTACTATTTAGTTATTTAAAGTTCAAACAACCCAAAGTGGTAAAGAGTACAGTTATACAGTCATTATAGTTTTACAAGAGATTATACATTGTGGATATAAATACTGGATATTAATTAATCACAGAAGGAAAAAAAATTATATTTACATTGTTTTCTAATCAAGCCACACTTATGTTAGGAAGATAGTTTATTATTGTTTTATTTTTTTACTTGGTCAATTTTTACATGAATACATCACAACATAGTTGCGAATGTGCAAAAAGTGACTAAGTGAAACAATCAATGATGGAAGTATACCCTTATTACAATTATCAAAATATTGCCTGTAGAATCTTTAACAATTTTTTCTCCAACGATATCTGCCGAAGAAAAATGTTTTTCACAGATTCTCTGTCCAACACTTAACCCCTGAAAAACATTTCCCCAAGTTTCTAGTCTTTTACTAGTCACCACAAAACTAGTAATACCTTCAGTATTTTTTTTACATATGCAACATAATTGGGGAATTTTAAATGAATAAAGTAACAAAAATGTAGTAGTTAACTAAGAAAATGTTATGAAATAATTTTATTATAATTATTAAGATTAATACAATTTGTTTAGTATTAACCGTTAAAACTTATATCGCTTAGCTTTGTGCATCGTGTTATATTATTCTCAGACCGTTGTATAATCTATAATACAGAACATAGAAAATGTATTATATTTACTTAAATTATACCTACCTATTTGATGCGCTTATTTAATAAAACATTTAAAAAAAGTATATACATAATTGGAGAGTTTAGTGCATCATCTGATATATAGATCTATACAATCAATATATTAGCGTTCGTACAACAAACTACTAGAGTGCAGCCAGGGGCGTCCGCAGGGGGGAGGCTAACGGGCTGAAGCCCCCCCCCATTGCCCGTATTATTATTACTCTTTCAAAAAAATATTAATCAAGTTTAAACTGTCGTCTGTCAACTATAATAAATCTCATATATGTCTTACCAGAAGAATTCATTTTTGAAAAAACATCGAATTTGCATACCAATTTTCATAAATTATCTGTAATTTTTCGGTAAAATTATGAACTACTTATTACTACTAATTGTCTAGCCTTAGATATACATATTTTATATAATTTTGAACTACAAATTAACCGTGGTTTTGACGAAATTTGAACTTTAAATGCTTATAAAAAATAACCATGATTTCTATGTATTATTAATATTTTAGCTATAATAAAAAAAACTTACGTATTACATTTTTAAGCTTTTTGACCGGATAAATAATTTTTTATTGAAATTTATAGAAAAAAAATTTCAATTAATCAAATACATACCAAGTTAAGACCGGTATAACCAAGCTTGTAACCAAACAATTTAAATAAATTTTCATTTTTTTTTTCACCAATTATTTTTAAAAGCACTAAGAATTTTCAATTTCGACCTCCTACAAGTACTAACTAAATCCAATTTGCTTCCAAAAACATACCCTGGCATCGAAGCTTATGATCAGATCATTTTTTCTACCAGAAGAGTTGAAAAGTTACAAACATTTTAAAATACCCCAAATAAACGTCTGAAATTATTAGACTGGACAAAATAAAAATTAAATTGTAACTAATTGTCAAGCCCCCCCCCCCCCCCATTGAAAATTCCTGCGGGCGCCACTGAGCGCAGCATTGCGCTAGATCTGGATTTTTACCGTAATGAAAACACTATTCAGGTGTCGACTTATGCCAGACCTATTATTCTAAGACCGTGGTCCACAGACATAAAAAAAAAACACAATCATTTAGCAGATGTAAATACGCTTGTTGAAAATATTATGATATTTAGTATAGTATTACTAAAAGTGTTTTTAAATAAAATGTATGTTAAAATCAGTATTAATAATAAATTAGACATTATGTTTAACAGGAGCCTGCATTTGAACCCGACAAACCACCGCCTACAAAAAACCAGACTGAAAATGTAAGTATAATGTATATAAGATATTTATCAAATTGTATATGAGATATCTCTACAGCTCTTTCTTACCTTTTAGAGTGATGATTTTGAGGAAGGATCAATTGTGAACGTAACCACTGACGGACGTCCATACTATGCAGCGGTCGTTGTGAAATGTGACGAAAAATTTGTAACAGTTATATTTCCTGAATCAGCAGACACAACGCCGTACAAATATCCAAAGAAAAATTTAAAAAAATTTAAAACACAGGTAATTAATGGAAAATTTAAACCCATAAAATGGAAAGCAAAAGACCTATCAAAACATCAACGACGATGTATTAAAGATTATGAACAAAATGCAGAAAATTATATTAATAAACTAAATAATTAATTAATTTCAATAAATTTGTATATTAATAAATAAATTATTTATTTATTTCAATGAATTTGTTTGTATAGGAAACCCATGTCACATCAAAAAAAAATCTTACGAATGGAAAAAAATGTTTTTAATAAAAATAAACAAATATAACCAAAACTGTTCTTCTTCTTCTTCCTATTTAGTAGTAGTAGTAGTTGAGCTAAGTTCTGTAATTACTAGAGATGGAGAATTTACGTAAAAAAAAATATCGGTTACCGATATTTTTTTTTACGTAAATTCTCCAATAATGTGGTAAATATGTTAAAATAGCTAAATCTTAGAGCTATTGTTATTTTTTACTATTAGACATTAGTTAATACGATTTGTACTAGGTACTAATGTTGTATATCTACTTGTTAAATCTAGTTCTTTCTAATAATAACAACAATTAACAAAAAAATTAAAAAATGAACCTAAAATATCTATTGTTCTGTATTAGACATTAGTAATTAGTACATTTTATGAAATATGAATATTGAATTATTTTAATATCGTACTATGACAAAAATTATATGTAATAAATTATTGGGTGAAAATGACCTGGTCTATCAGAAAAGTACAACTTCATAAGGTTTAGGTAAGAAATAAAAGTTTTATAGGCTTATGTTCAATACCAAAATAACCCGCTAAAACGATGAAAATATGCCAAATATTTATGTTCAAAATGTGATTTCTGCGAAAATATTTGAAGTTAAGGTAAGTTTAGTAGATATAAAGATTCAGCGTGATATAATCTATCAGAAAAATATAAATTTATATAGTTTAGTTGAGAAATACAGTTTTTTATACTACATTTGGTGCGCAGAGTTAAAAAAATACGTATTCACAGCTATAAGTAAACAGCCTGGACTTAAACAAAAATCTATGAAAACCTAATTTCTTTAATATTGCACATATCGAATTGATTTTTTTTTTAAATGTTTAGAATGGTATTCTCACTCATATTTTAACGTTGAAAAATTTTTATCAACCCTAAGACCGAAATAATGGGGTGAAAATGACGTCATTTTGGTTGGTCATAAAAAATATTTTTTCGTAGTAATTAAAAAAATAAAATAACTATATTACTATGACAAAAATCATAAGTATTTGTTTGTAATAAAATGGTCTATCAGAAAAATATAATTTCATAAAATTTGGGTAAAAATTAAAGGATAAATAGACTTATGTTCAAAAAAGAAACCACTGTAAATACAATATTTTGGATTATCACAATATACATTTTTTCGAAGTAATTTAGGATAAAAAATATCTATCGTACTATGACAAAAGTTATATTTTCTTAATCATCATGACCTGGTCTATCAGAAAAGTACAACTTGATAAAGTTTAGGTGAAAAATAAAGGAAAATAAATCTTATGTTCAAACACAAAATAACCCGCTAATACGATGAAAAATTTCCAAATATTTACGTTCAAATCGTTATTTCTTGAAAAATATTTGAAGTTAAGGTAAGTTTAGTAGATATAAAGATTCAGCGTGATATAATCTATCAGGAAAATATAAATTTATATAGTTTAGTTGAGAAATACAGTTTTTTATACTACATTTGGTGCGCAGAGTTAAAAAACAACATATTCACAGCTATGTGTAAGCAGCCTGGACTTCAACAGAAATCTACGAAAACCTATTTTCTTTAATATAGCACATATCGACTTGATTTTTTTTTTAAAATCTTCAGAACGGTATTCTTACTCATATTTTAACGTTGAAAAATTTTTATCAACCCTAAGACCGAAATAATGGGGTGAAATTAACTTTGTCATCATATTAACAGCGCTTAACCAGGTGTTACCACACTTGGTGAAGTCCCAAATCTTTGGTTATCAATGTGTTTATCAATCGTGATTCGTGTTTCTTCATTAAGATGAGAAATCCGCGGTCCGCGATTAGCAGTGTATGGGAAATTTACATTCACGAGTTTTAAATATAATATACATATATTATAGCATATTGTATAATATTATAATATTATAGTCGCAACTAAAACATGGATGTATTAAAAGAAATTCAAGAGAGAATCGCTGAAATTCAAACACTATATCCCGATCACATGAACTGCGGCCAATCGTCGAAATTCACTACGTGCCAACCGTTGGAATTTGCTGCACTCTTAGAGAAGTTCAAAGAAATAAAGAACTGGCTGGCCGATGTGGATTTGAAAAACAAAACAATCATTACACTTCTTGTAATTGGTCGAATAGTAAATGCGTTTGCGGGCCAGATACATGCCAATGTGTGATGGTACGTTTTTATCATTATCAATTAAAAGTAATGCTCGATACGATCGTCAAACAACATGGTCCAGACAACGATGGCGGAGAAACAAATGCCGGAGGAAAACAACAATAGTCATGCATTATGACCGTCCAATCAGTGTGAACCCAAACAAAAAAATATTCAGCGGAAAATATAATAATAATATAAAATTAATCAATTCAAAAGTTTATTTTGGGTTCAGTTTGGTAATGAAATATATGGTACCGATGTGGTTTGATGTTGAATAAAATGCTCGGTTCGAGTTCGACTTCACACCAAAAAGTTCGGTTCAACCTACCAAGGTTCGGTTCGAGACCATATTTTTGAGTTCGACCCACCTCTAGTATTAAGTATAAGATTCGCAATGATTATAAATACTTATGATAATTGTTACAAGGAAACATACGTAATGTTTGACATAATTATTGAAAAATATAATAGTCGTCACTATTGATGTGAGTAGGACACTTTACTGTTTGTTTTTATTTACATTAATTTTGTTGTGATAAAATAGCATTACTGCCGCACAAATATTAAATAATAATAACTCTCGTTCAAAGGTGCGTGTATAATATTGCTTGTCACAAATTCTGCACTGCACTAATTTTTTATATATTACGTAAATTACATTAAAAATATGTATATTTTTTTAATTACATAATACGATATATTAATAGAAAAACTTTTAGTACCTATATGGGCAAATTCATGAATATATTTTATTGGTTGAAAAAGTTTCATTTCAAACATGAAAATGGAAGAAACCTTATAATAATATAATATTATACATATATTTTATATTTGTATACGTAAACTAACCAAAAAATATTCTAAACGTGATGTATATGTTAATATGTTATCTAATGCAGTTATATGTATTATAACGATACATGTGATTGTAATGGTACCAATAAATATTATACAAAAAATTAAGTAGGAATTACAGATAACTTTAGCACAACTAAACAATATAATTTTGTTTCAGTGCCGCGATGACGAAATAAACGCCGTACGTATTATTTTTATTTGATAACAATAAGTTTTAATTATTATTATGTTAATTTTTTTTTTATATTTCGAAATTTAATTATACTACCTCAGATGCGACTGCCATTATATCGGTTAGCCAACATGATAATGGCAATTTATTATTACCAGACCCAAAACGACGAGGAGATGAATGACACCCATTAAAGGTACACTCTTAACCTGAACAGAGCATAGGTACAATTTCTATGCTGCTTAATAAGTTTTTTTTTTTTAAATTACAAAATACGTTATATAAATAGAAAAGAAATAAGTTGTATAGGTCGATTCGTAATTATTAATAGTATATTTTATTATTTTTTTTTCTGATCGATTTTCTTCAACAACAATGATTATACTAGCGTAAAAGATTATTTTTTTTTTAAATTTGATTAGTTTAATAAATTGAATTTCAAACATAAAAAATGGAAGACTCCTTAGAATATTTTATTTTATTTTAAAAGGAATAAGAAGTATGAGTTGACTGCAGTCTTTATAATTTTTGTTTATAATTTAAATATCCCCAGTCCTGACAAAACGCTCAGAATCGATTTTCGTATACAATAATATTATATTATATTATTGAATTCTAATATATTTTTCGAATTGAGCGTCTATAACATACATTTAAGATATTTTTAACGAAAATCATAAAGATTAAGTTAACCAAATAGACCGATTATATTTTCCTACAGTATAGGAGCCGAAATTCCACTTTTGGTACCCCATATTATTATCTATATTATATAGGTACCTATATATTTATGTGTTAAAATCAATTCACTAACATTTTCCACTTATGAAATTATTCATCTCCAATCGATATTTTTTTCCAGTTGATGTGTTCTCGAGTTGCAGTTTAGTGATTGAGCGACGTCCGAACGTACCGGTACAGTAATTTAAAAATTTTTCACATTTTTCACATTATTAATGTTTTTCATTAAATATGTGGTGGTTTTTTTTATGTTTGCTCGTGTTGTTTTTTTTATAACAAAAGCTATAAACACAGGTTAATATGAATTTTATATTCGTCATTAAATGTAAGATACTAATATTTGAATACAGTGTTCGGATTTACGTTCATATTTAACGAGTGAACGTCACTATAGTTATTTGAAAATGGGTCATGCGAACGACGTTTATATATTTAATGAATTTTATTAACTTATTGAATATTAACTATTTAATAAATATTGATTGATAAATTAAAACTATTACATTCCTATAATATATTATAACGAATTTTAAAAGAATTCAACAATATAACAATAAAACTTCCGTTAAATTTTTTCTATGTCTTCAAGTAATCATAGAGTAAAATTACTCATTACAAATAATATAGCGAATAAAATTTTTGAAAGAATGACATATCGATTTTATAATTTATTGTTATTTGACTTTGTATTCGATTCAAAATATCAACGGCACATCGACGTACTTAGGTATGCGAGCGAACACGGCTGTCTCTTGTTCAAGCATAAGAACCGCCTTACATCTGATAAGTATCTTATAATAAGATGCTCAGTTTTTGATGACACACAAGTAGTAGAAGATGGATTCTATTTCCGAAATAAAAGCACTAGAAGCACCAGATGTACAGAGCTTTGTCAGAAACTTGTATATTTATTTCCCAAATTAAACAAAAATGTATAAGTAATCAGGAGTTTTTTATATTTAGCTGAACGAACGATTATTTTATTTTGTTTGGGAGACACAAATAGAATTATATAAATCATCAATGAGTGAATTGGCAACATTCAAATATGTTAATTGAGATATTACTTTCTTAATTTAAAATAATAAGGCAAGTAATTTGAAGCTGTAGATATTTGGTATATGAAAATTTGTTTGTCAACTTGTAAAATAGTTAATTAATTAGTTGTTTATATATTTAAACTTTTGTATAGACAAAAAAAAAAATGGGACATATTAAATAAATGAATGTTGTAATATTTTGAGTTTAAAAAGATGTAGAAATCTCTTGGGGTCTTATTAGAGATCACATACTTACATATAATATTAAAAAGTTTAGCATACACCAACATTACTATGTTATAAATAGGTTAAAATAGATAAAAATATTCATATACAGTTATTTATTGGAGAAATCTGTGTAATGATTATAATACGCTACAGTACAATCATATTTATTATACATATTTATTTTAAAAGTATTCAAATTCTAATATACTGAGTATAGGTAGCATAAAATATTAATTTGCATTTGATTGTCTACCCATATAGTTGAAACATGTATAAACACTTAGAAACATACACTCAACCAAAAATCATTAGTAAAATGTATAGTTTTTTAACAACTATACGTTTGTTAAAATAATAATAATTGTAAAATATTTACAAAAGCATTATTGTATGTGTTAACAATATACTTAAAATAAGAATCTTCGTTCGTTGAATTTAATAAATAATCATATTATGAATGAACAGAATAAGTTTATTAAATTAATAGAAAAATTTTTGTTTTGATAATAGTATGCTTAAATAATACAAAATATATCTAACAAAGTAACTATTCATACATGTCATTTCATCAATGGTGTGTTTAATTCAACTATAATAGGTATATTATTTAATTTCAATAGTGGGTTTACTTATTTAAAAATAATTTTAATCGTTTTCCATATATGAACATATATTGTTATAATACAATAATAAATAGAACTAATAAACATTATAATATAATATGTTTATTAAATCAATGAACAAATTGTTGTTTTGATTTAAGTATGTTCAAAATTTCAAATGATACCTAACCTCTATGTTCACAATAACAAAAATTAATAATTGCAATCATTTGTAATCCAAACTTAAGTTGGTGATTGATCGATATTGCTCTAATACTTATACTAATCTACCGTCTACATTTTACAACCTAGCTATATAATTATGAGTGCAAATTGTTGACGTCAACTATTACCAGACAACTTGTAAGAAGTAAGTACCATAATTTACTTTAATATAATCACAGTTTTGAACATTTTTATTCTGATTTAAATAGGCTATCAATACTGCTGTTAACTGGATTAGATTTAAATTTTGAAAAAAGTAGGTAGTTATCTACTTAAAAATTATTAAATTTACCTACGTATAATATTACATATAGGTACACCTACTTTATAAACATTTGATTTTGTAAAAAAATGTATTAAAAGTGAATCAAGTTTTTGAATCTATATATTAAATTGAAATACACATATCTAATATACAAATATATATAAAAAGTAATTACTAATTTGTTGAAACTAATAATAATGATTTATTTGTAAGCAACATAATCAAAATTCTCCTCACTTCTGGTCCATTCCAAAATAATTCATTTATTGAAACCTTCTAGTACATATGAATGTACACAAAAAGAGTGTAAACAATTATTTCAAAACTTAAATAGTTTCAAAAAACATAAAATAAAAAAGCATCCTATCATCAATTCTAATACAACTAATACAAGCAATATTAATAAGTTCAAAATTGTACAACTCAAAATTTAAATGCAGTTGACAGAATGCCCCTTGAAAATGAATCCATACAAAATAATAATTCTATACCTCAAGAAAATCATTTTAATAATTGTATTCCTCTTGCTACAGCTCTTACTTCATTCCAAGATTCTGCTCTTAAATTTACAATATCACTAATCAGTAATAATAATTTTTCTAGAAAAAATGCTTTTGATATTCAAAGAGGTATAGAAGAAAGCTTAATAAAACCATTGGTGAATTTACTGAATGATTTTCTTAAAGATACAATTGAATTGCCTGCAATGCTATCACAATTTAATAAAATTACATCAATATTATCAAATCCATTTGAATGGTGTAATTCTGAATATAAGTTAAATAATTGGTTGTCTGAAAACAACTTGTACGAAGAAGCATTGTACGATTGTACAATTTAATTCCTGAAGATGATTTTATACTCTACTCTCAACCCAATTTCTGCACTTTAAGAAATATTCATAAAGTTTCAGTGGTATTTACATAGTTTTAAAGTAAAATATTAACAAATGTTTTCGAATCTCATTTCAGTGTCTTCTTCACTACTGACCATACCGGAACCGTATACAGGGCCGCATTTGTCTGTTCGGAGAGCATCGATAGACGACACACAAACACCGCACGGTTTACCTACAAACATTTTTTTTTCCGCTCAACAATCGGTAAGTAGACAAATAAACTATTATCGACACTTGGAGTATAAATCTATTTTAAAAATTATGTCTGTAATTATAATTAGGATTAAATACATTTTAAGTCTTAGGTACATGTATACGGTATTTTCGGTTATTACTATAGGCCGTTGCACGGAAAATCATTACCGAATAACAGTGTATTTGTATTCATAAATACTCAAAATACCTAAATCCTTAATTTTAAAAACCCAAATTGCGTAGGTACATACGTCTTATATGACGCCGTGCTGCTAGATAGATTAGGACAAATATATAAACGGTCTATAAATTACAATAATAATAATCCATAGTTTTTTTCAATGGGCCTTTTGCAATAAGGTATTTAATCTCAATTTAAAAATATTTTTAACTTTACACTTTTTTATGTTTTAAAATCCCAGATATTATACATCTAAGACAAATAGATTGTATTTTTTAAATTCAAATCATAACAAAAAAAACTCCGTACCAATAAATTCTAAAATATACTTGAATATTGTGATATAATTATGTATATTATGAAATTGAACACTAGTGGTAATTTATCAATTTATTAAAATTCAACTTTTATTTTCCAATAAAGACTAGTTTGACATATTATTTTATTTGAATTGTTAATGTTAAACATTTTGAGTTTATTATTACTTTTTTTTTAAATTTAAAGTTTTAGTTAAGTAAACGGTAAGTTTATTTATGATGTTATATCTATTATTTTATTATTTATTTATATTTGATAGAAGAGCCAATAAAAATAATACAATATTAAAAATAAAAATGAATATTTAATTTGACTTTATACAGTTTTGGTCAATTTATAAAACTTTGTAAGCATATGTTTAAATTTAATGTTTTAAACAAGTTGTTTAAAATACAACAACCCTGTTTATTATTAAAAAAAAGTACTCTATGTGAAACCAAATAAATCACATTTGACACCAACATAAATATTAACAATAACATATTTTGCACTAAATTAATAATTTTTTAGGAATGACCAAAGTCCAAATTATGTTTTAGATAAGTTTATTGCACATTAAAAAACCTACCTAATCTACCAGAGTTATGAGAAAATATTAAAAACAATAAAATAACAAAATGAGGATGTAGTTACAGTTTATATAATACACAATAATAACAAATAATAATATTCTGATGTTATTGAACTTTATGATGATTCACGATGATCATATTTGGTTTCGTATTAATGGCAACATTCAACTGTTTTCCTTTGCAAGTAGCATTCAATTGAAAATATATCAAGATCCTAAGGACTCGTTTGATACAATGTTGTATAACTGGAAGTGAAATAAGTAGTTTCTACTGACTTATAGGTGCGTTTATAACATAAATACCAACGTGTTTGAAGGTCTGCTGACAGCATAGTATCCGCATTATGATTGTTTCAAAAATATAATTCCATTGTTCAATATTGATGTAATATATTATACCAATGGGCAATGGATCATATTTTTTGAGTATATCTGAAAGTTATTTATGCTTGGTCATCTTGACAGGTGGGGCTCAATGGTTTAAGGATAACTCTGAACAAATTGTAACAAGGTTATCATGTTAAACTTTAAGCATTGGCCCATATCATTCTGGTGAAGTCTGAGAGTATAAGTTGCATCAGCAGTGGACGGTATATCAGACAGAGCATACTAGTATCAGACAAATTTAAACAGCATTTTCTCAAAGTGAGATGTGATATTTTTTATATTTCAATTAGACTTTAATATTTAAGCATACTGCTTGACGATGTTCAATCCTGCAAAAATCATTTTTAATGATTCTAGCAATTGTAGATTTGTCACATATTTTGTTTTGAAAGTTTGATTTACATATTGTGGCTAAAATGGAGTCAATTTAGTCCCATATGTCACAATTTTTCAGAATCAAAGTTGTATCTCTGACACAGTGGTAGCTGATATTCCGGTCCCATTACACAAGATGTCATTCAGAGACAGACATGATGTAATAACTGATAATGCGTAATTGTTAATATGTTTTAATGTTGAAGATGTCCTGCGTGACCACAGCATGATGAGGTAAATATAAAACCGGCAATGCAGAGAAGCATAGCATTGCATTTTTTTTATTTTACTATGTCGAAGTACTCTTTCATGAACTTATGACACATGTTTGGTTGTGTAGTCCTCTACAAGGTTATTGGAGAACCGCACTGCAAAATCTTTAGCCTTGATTACAATAAGTTACTAGGCAACTTTTTGAAAAGTAATCTTCTCTCGTGAACTTAATTAACTATTGACATTAAATATACTGGTGGTATGTTGATCCAAGTATTAAAAAGTTGTGTGGAAACTGCAGTACCAGTGATTTTTGTAATATATGACAGGTAATTGTAGTTCAAAATCCACTTGTCACACAATAGAACACAAATGTTATATTAAGTATACCTATTACAGTACACTGCAATTCTTGCCAAACAGGTGTTATTGTGGAACATTGCTTTGTAAGAATAAATAAAATATGATTCCCACTCTTGAATACCAACATTAAATGTTTGTCCAGCTACTGATACTATCAATGAAATCCTTGTCCTTGGATATTGATACAGTTTATGGTTCTTCAAATCTATTCAGTTAAGTTTAGACGTGCTCAAAACACTCATATTTGTACAATATTTTTTTTATTGCAGTCTTATGTTCCAAATTAATAAAAAATTATTAATTTGTGCAAGCTCATTTCTTCTCTTTTGACTGTTCATGATAAATTCTTTTCAAATACAAAATCAAACAGTTGAATGGCATTAATTTATGATCTTTTTGAAGGTGTGGTGATTGGTCAAGGACGATTACTTCAATACTAATTCCTACAATGTATACAATTCAAATTACTTAATTATTAATAGCATAGGAATCACCTTATTTTTTTTTTCTATATTTTTTTTTCTATATTTTTTTTTCTATATTTTTTTTTTCTATATTTTTGTTTTTTTGTTTTATTACTTATTGCAACACATTATTAATATAACACATTAATAATAAGTATCATTTTTTTTTTTTAACAGTTATTTTTTCATTATTTCAATTAATTATAAGTATGATCCATCTATGCTCTACAGTTGAATGCCTTTTTACAGTATTTTTAAAGGTTCCACAAATTATCAAAAAATATTTGTAATTAAATGAGGATGTTTGCTTTATTACTTATTTACTAAGTTGTATACAATTAAAATTACTTAATTTCTAAAAGAAAGGATTCACAACTTCCAAGGAATCACTTAAACATTTTTTTTTTTCGTGTTTTTTTTTTTTTTTTTACAAAAATGTTTGCAATAAATTTATTATAAGTTATAAAATAGGAATCACCTTACAATTTTTTTTTTTTTCTTTTATTACTTATTGCAATACATTAATAATAAGTATAATTTTCATTTTTTTTTTTTTTATATATGATTCATGTGTTCAAGGTAAGTATGACCCATCTATGCTCTACAGTTGAATGTCCTTTTTACAGTATTTTTTAACGGTACTCAAACTTTCCAAACAGTGGTAATTAATTGAGTGGTAATTGTTTTATTACTAATAATCCTACATTGTATACAGTTAAAATGACTTAATTTCTAATAGCATATGATTCCTATCTTACAAGGAATCAATCACTTTACAATTTTTGTTTTTTGTTTTTTTTTTTTTTTTACAAAAATGTTTGGAATAAATTAATTATTATAAGTTATAGCATAGAAGAACCACCATATAATTTGTCTTTTTTTTTATTCTTAATTACTTATTGTAAAATACATTAATAATAAGTATAACTTTCATGTTTTTTTATTTTTTACTCAACAGTTATGTTTGTTATGAATAAATTATAAGTATGGCTCAACTATGCTTTACAATGTTATAGGAATCATCTTATAACGATTATTAATAATTTTATTTATTAACAGTAACTAATAGAGTTTACAGTAGGTAAATTCTACATTTTTTTTTATATTATTGTTACGGCTCGTCTATCACTAAAAGGTAAAAATTGTGACGACAGAAGAGAGTCAACATATTATAATATAAGCATTAAATATAATATAAGCATTAAACATAATATAATTCAAACATAAGATAAAATACATTTTATACGTAGTAATAACCTAAATAAATATAGTGCATAATATATTTATAATAGTTGTAATAATGTAATTACTATGGGCCAAAAATGTAAAATGCAAAAGAAAATCTTTAGGTAAAAAAAAAGGAAAAGAAGGTACATCATTTTTTTTCTTTTTTATATAATGTGACTGTTACTTGGTAACCATTTTTTAATTAATAATTTAAAACGAGCATGCTTTTTACAATTCTTTAAAATATTTTTTTGTTATTTGGCTCTTTTCAAAATTTACATTGCTCCTATTTTATTATAACTATTTAACATAAATATTATTAACAAATAATCCTTCCTACAAATATAATTTTCACATCTAGGATCTCAAAAGGCCGCTACTGTATCTATCTTTCAAAAAAAGAATTTGTAGACCAACTCATCCAAAATAACCAACTTATCACTATCAGCAACCAGACAATCAAATTAAGAAGATTACATAATCCCGACAAACGAATCATACTATCCAACGTGTTCCTCAATATCCAAACAGTCCTATTTTAGACCAACTGTCAAAATTAAATATAATACCTACAAGCCCAAATTCTTTTCTCCAAGCCGGGTCAATCGCCAACGGTCTCGACCACGTACTAAATTTTCGAAGACAATTG